ATCTAGACACAATATTTAAATTGAAATGTATTTCTAAATAAAAAAAAAGACTAATCAACTGAATTTACCTTTAGCATAACTATTAGCATCAACACTAAATGATCGACTTCTTCCACCAGGTGATTGTGCACCAATAAATGAATGTTGTAGAAAACTTTCTGGTGTAAGAATCCATTAACACCACCACATACAGCCATGTCAGCTTCATTTGTACGGAGACATTGCACAGCCATATGTAAAGTTTCTCAAGAAGATGAACAAGCAACACTAATGATACATTTGGATCATGTAAATTCAAATGATATAATAAACTATTAGGTCCATAAAATCTTGATTCGATGTTCAGGTCTCGTACGAGTTGTTGCAATTGCATGATCTGTTGAAAATTATCCAGTATGCACTGATGTTTTTGTACCATTTGTTTTTTCAATACTATCCAGCATCATCAAGTAAGTCAACAAATTTTAACGTAAATAATTGATAACATGGATCAATGCTGGCTGCTGCAGCATCTGATAAATCAAAAAAACATGATTCAAACATATTCCATAGTTGATTTGACATAAAATAACCATCACGAAGGAGTTTTTGATGAAGTTGTTCATTATTATTCTTGTTTAAATATTCATTTTCCGAATTAACATAATAGATTTTTATATCTAAAATAAATATTATTATATAAAATAAAATCTAAGATTAATTTAATTTTTAATTGAAAATATATATTTGATCTATACAAATATGATTATAATTTAATGATATTATGAGTTTTGTTTTGTTTTTTATTAGAAAATATTAGCATTATTTTTGTTATTTGATAAATCAAATATAATTTATAAATCTCTTCACATTGGACTTCTATTGTGTTTTGTAAATTAGAAAAATCTATAGATGAATTTCTAATGTGATTAATATTTTTCATGCTATAGTTAATGTTTGATTAGTAGTATACATGCACAAAAAGTCTTTAAAAATTTATAAGTTTCGTAGATTTGTGAAATTATCGGATAGCTAGCTATAGAAGTACCTATGAGAGTAATCTAGAATATGAAATTGGTTGTAAGTTTTTAGATGATTATAATGTTGTTAAGTTTAATAAAAATTTCTATGATTTGTCAAAAGTAAAAAAAACGTAATAGAGCTGAATTGCTACATATATGTAATTTCTACGCTCAAAAATTATTTTATATTAACAATGCCTATTGATAGTAAATATATATGCAACATAAAGTAAAGTGGATACATAAACTAAGCTTTGATTAGATAATAAGAACTAAGGAATTAACTTATTTATTTAGCTAGCTGTTGAAAGTATCTATTTTGTCTTAATTTTGAATAAGATGGTCTTCTATTCTATGAAGAAGTTTATATATATAACGAGTACACCATAATAAATGAGATACAAAAGTGAGCCATTTATTATGAGTCATCCATTATATATACATATAGGCATACGAGCGCTTGAATATATACGATTTTTTAAAAGCAACTTTTTAATCGCGGTCATGGCCACTTGCGCTCTATATATTTTATCAAAAAAGGACCATGACTATAATATCATATCGAGTCATAATTTTTATTGACATATTTTTCAGGTAGTTTAATTCAAAGATTATTATATATAAAAACATTAATTTATATTTTCTATATAATTTCTTAAAATTTTAATCTCACTTTTTTTTAAATTAAAGCTCATTACATTAAATATGGATATAGTGCTCAAGTTTAATCAACTCTTTTAATGTTTTTTCTCGCAATAATTTTAATTGCACTTTTATGAAAAATTTATTTCCTTAATCTTAATAAAAGTAAAATATTTATTTTTATTTCTTTCACAATAATTTCATAAAATTCTACAAAATCTTAATCAAATTAAAATATTTAAGAAAAGAAATTTTTTTAAAATTAATTACTAGAATAATTTACTGATGACCACCAATAAGTTTTCATTGATTCATAGGATACTGCAATCTGATTGGCATGGACAAACAAACGGACAAACTTTAAGCATTTTAACGACCCTGTCTAACGAGCTCATAAGCCTTTCTTTCTGAAAAGAGAATAACTTACGAACTCTACATCTTTCAAAAAGTATATTCAATTTTTATCGAATACAACTTAAGAACTTCACAGCTTTGAAAAATTTAAAATAATAATAACAATTGAATTTCTTTTTGAAAATTTATTTAAATCATATGATCATAGAATCATTTTAAAATTATGTTTAATTTTGCCTAAACCTTAATTCTGTCTAACACACAAGTAACGCTCGTCTAAGGACTCGCTCAGCTCTTTCTCGTAGAAATCGTGTTCTACAATGCTACTGAGCATTTTGCTTATACAATTTCAAAAAACTAGCATGGGATTCGAGATCTCCGCATCGAAATACCTCTAAAAATGTCTTTTTTGAAAAACTGTTTTTCGATGTTTTTTTGACCCTGTGGACACACAAGCAAGCAAACAAACAATTTATGTTTACTGGACTCTTCTCTACGAGAAAGAGAATATACATATGAATAGCTTAAACATCAAAGTAACTATTCCAAATTAATATATTTAATTCTAGGATTTATTTGAATGAAATTTCAAATAAAAATTTATGATTTCATAAGAGTTATCTACTGAAATCGTAATATTAAAATAAAAGTGTATTAGACAATAGATTGCCTTAGATAAATGTATACTGAAAGGTCACAATAAATATGTTTTGATAAAAGTAATTGTCTTTTGCCTTACCTCTATATGATGAAACCTGCAATGATTATAATCGGATATTCGTTCAAATAGTATTATACTCCTACTCTTATGAGAGAGATATTTTATCTATATGGTTTAATGTGTAGGTGCACATAATAAGATAAAAATCAGTTGTATTGTATTCTCCACCTCCAACAATAAATATAAAATCGATGTTAAATATCGAACCAATAATATATTTTAGCTTATAATAATCGTAGCAATGCTTCTTAAACACATACATGAATAAAACTTCTTATCTCACCTGTAAGAACAGCAAGAAAAAAAGAAAAGGTATGACTGATTTCATGTACGAATACAAAAGATAGTTAGTATGGATTATTTTCTGATTTTTTTACCTCCCAAGTCCAAGGTCTATGTTAAATATTAAAGTAATTGTGTATTTTGCTTATTTAGAATAATATTTTCAACAATTATAAATGACTGATCATTAGAAAGCAATTAAACTGCGCGTGTATGTAAAAAAGAAAAATATATATCAAAGATTATTTTATGTAAAAAAGATAAAAAATAAGATAAACGTTAATTATTATATGACCGATCTCTGAATAAAGTACAAAATCTAGTAGAATAATTCGAAACTATCCCATTTTTTATGAATATATACCATATATAGATTACAAAGGAACTTAAAATCTAGGATAATTTGAAATTCTCCATAGGGAAAATTAAAATTATTTTATTACCTATTACATTTTATTACAAAAGCTGAAGATGGTTAACCGTTAGTACATTCAGAATGAGTACAACTATGATGGTGACAATGAAACTGAAGATGAAATGGCTTCTCATGTTCACACTCGCTTTCATTCTCCCTCACATCCCAAAACCTCATATTCTTACTTGCTCCTGATTTATTCTAAGCGAGATTAAAATTTTCAATTTGTCTTATAAAATGTAGAAAAAAATAAAATAATTTTAATTTCCTTTAAAGAAAATTTTCAATGAAAATATATATTTTGTGATCAGTAAAATTAATCAAATCGTAGGTTAATTAGATACAAATGTCCGTAAAAAATTCAAATTTGATTAGTAAAATTGCAAATTCTATCAGCAGTAGAAATAAGTTTTCTTAATATAAAGATTAATTTAATATAAGAAAAATAGACTCAATTAAATAAAAAATTCAAAAGAATACTGAATAGAAATGCAAATAATGAATGAGAAAAAGAAGATGAAAATTAACCTATTGTATTAGCAAATTATGCGTAACCTTTATTGGCCTATTCCTTTTTCTTTTCTCATCGATCGACATTATTTTTGCTACCGTTAGTGGTTTGCAATATTTTCTAACAAATGATTACTCTAGTAAATCATTGGTAGATGTTATCAGCTAGTTTTCAAATGACAACTGTATATATGAACGCTCGAGAATAAAATCTACGATACTAGTAAAATAACATAATAAGAAAAAAAATATCTTAATACGAAGGAGAGAAAAAAAAGATATATATGCATGTCGTATTTATCATCTGTACGAAATAATAGACGAAAAGAAAAAAAAAGTGAATCAGATTTTAACATATTTCAATTTTTATACTAACCCTTTAATTTAATTTACTGTTTTTTAAATATAATGATGGACCTAATTATTTTTATAATACAATTTACGGATTATTAATTTATTTTTCTAATCATTCATTTATTCTACTAACCATTTAAATGGTAGATATTTTTAATTATTCGAGGCTTTAAGTTTCTCTTTAACCGATATATGATATGTTAATAAAAGATGAAATAAATTCAACTTATTAGTTTTCCAAATAAATATATTTAATTCTAGGATTTATTTGAATGAAAATTTATGATTTCATAAGAGTTATCTACTGAAATCGTAATATTAAAATAAAAGTGTATTAGACAATAGGTTGTCCTTAGATAAATTTACAATTAGAGGTCAAAAAAGTTGTTATCGTAAACAAATATATTTCGATAAAAGTAATTGTCTTTTGTTCTCTCTTTATATGATGAAACCTGCAATGATTATAATCGGATATTCGTTCGAATAGTATTATACTCCTACTCTTATGAGAGAGATATTTTATCTATATGGTTTAATGTGTAGGTGCACATAATAAGATAAAAATCAGTTGTATTGTATTCTCCACCTCCAACAATAAATATAAAATCGATGTTAAATATCGAACCAATAATATATTTTAGCTTATAATAATCGTAGCAATGCTTCTTAAACACATACATGAATAAAACTTCTTATCTCACCTGTAAGAACAGCAAGAAAAAAAGAAAAGGTATGACTGATTTCATGTACGACTACAAAAGATAGTTAGTATCGATTATTTTGTATTTTTGTTGCCTCACAAGTCCAAGGTTTACATTAAATATTAAAGTAATTGTGTATTTTGCTTATTTAGAATAATATTTTCAACAATTATAAATGACTGATCATTAGAAAGCAACTAAACTGCGCGTGTATGTAAAAAAGATAAAAAAAATAAGATAAACGTTAATTATTATATGATCGGTCTCTGAATAAAGTACAAAATCTAGTAGAATAGTTTGAAATTATCCTATTTTTTATGAATATATATCATATACAGATTATAGAGGAACCTAAAATCTAGAGGAAAGTAAAATGATTTTATTTTTTTTTAAAAAAACTATGGAAAGATTTAGTTTCTGACTTCTACTAATAAAATATTTTAATCATCAAAATGCAATTTACGACACAGAAGCAAATTTGTGAAAAAGTCTGACTAAAACTGTTAGAGAAATGCTTCCATATAAGTTTTTGAAAAAAATACTCATTCACCTTTTATCTTGAAATGAACAATAGCATCTATTAACTTAACAAGAATAATTTTCAACCTTTCATCTCTCTCATGTATTCTGTTTATTGCTTGTCTCTCTAATCAATAACTACAAAAATTTGAAGAAATAAATTCTGAAATTTTTATTTGTAAGATCAACGATCATGTACAATTGTATATGTAAAAAAAAAGGTTCTGTATGTTAGTAGAAAGTGTTTATTAATTAGTAGAATGTGATAATATCTTGAAGCGATATTTAAATGAAAATTAACGCATAAAATGCCAAGTCTATCGATGAGGTGGTGGTGCTGCAGCTGGAACGACACCTGGTGGAGCATGAGCATGAGCATGACCATGTTCAAAATGAAAATTCTTTTCTCCATGTACACCTGCCATATGTTCTCGAAATCTAAATAAAAAGTTAATTGATTTCAATTCAAATAAAAGAAAAAAGAAAATTTCATACTTATCAAAACAAACTTGTGACATATCACGTACAGATGAACCAACATGAACCATTTTATAAAGAGACTAGAATGAAAATAATAATAACAAAAAAAAACGATGCGAATATTACAAATAAATTTAACTTACAAGAAAGATAAGAATATGAACGAGAATAAAATAAATGACAAAAAATGTTCGACTTTGATGTGATGAGAGAATAAATTTACCAAAGTTTAAAGCAAATTTTTCATGAATTTTAAGTGATTCATATTTCTTTTGTTTTTCCTTTAAAATAAAATCAAATATAAATCTATATATAAACATTAAATTATCCAATACTTGTTTCGTAAAATTAGTAAATGGATCCAATGATGCATCATAACCACGTGAATACCGATCAATAGGACCATCTGTTCCACGTGTTGTCTATAAAAATATAATACAATTATATTATTCTAAGAAGAATCTCATAGCTATCATATTAATAGTGTTTCTGATTTTCAATCATCTTATCATTTAGAAAGATTCTCTCTAAAACTATTAAGTGGTATGTTATGCAGGGACGTCCGCAGAGGTGGGATCGATCCCCCCTCCCCGCAAAAAATTGAAATACCTGGAGGGGAGTACAAGTCGAACAATTTTCAGAGATTTGAAATAATCTTTTTCTACGATGGACTTTTCTGCAAAGTCGTCAACCCCCCAAAAAAATTTCTGCGGACGTGTCTGATGTTACGTCATTTAATTAAAATAAGATTTCAATCAATTGTAGTGGATAAAAGTTTTTTTTACTGAATACATACAGGATAATTCTGAACGAATTTAATTTTTTCATATAATTTTATATTATCCGATCGAAGTTTATCCATTTCATTTTGAAATATATTCGTTTGTTGTTTTAATGAAACATTTTCCTAAATACAAAAAAAAGATTTTTCTTATAGAAAAAAGAAATCGATTTATTTGAATTACGCTCTCTAATTCAACATTACGAATACGAAATCGTTCACGTTGACTAATAACAATAGTAGTTAATGCTTCATCCGATGTTGTATCACGTGATGAAACATGTGAAAATGAACCCTTAAATGATGCTGGAGATGTAGATGATTGATTTAATACATCTTCAATTATTATAGTTTCATTTGAATTACTATCACTTATTTGTCCCTAAATAAAAAACAAACAAAATACATCGAAATTTATAAAAAGAAAAAAAACAATCCACTTCAGATCCTCGTCGAAATAATTCAGTAACACCACCAACACTTAATGAATCTTTTTCAAGTTGAATATTCAATTGTTTTAATTCATTATTTGCATTTTCAAAATCTCGACAACGTTTATCAAGTTCATGAAATCGTTCTAAATAAATGAAAAACATTCATTTTATTTTCCACACATACGAAAAAAATTTGAGAGTAAAAAAAAAGAAAATCTTATTATCACTATATACGATATTCTTCTTTCTTTCTTTCTTTCTTTCTTTTCTCTCTCTGTCCTTGAACCTGAAATAAATAAATTCAAAGCATATTCAATATTATACAAAAAAGACAAATAGAAAATTTTTATTAATATTCGAACAAAAAAAAACATCATAATTCACACATATTAAACTTCTTTCGCAAAAATTTTTTTTGTTAAATACAATAAAAACGGTGGAATGTTAGTAAATCATTTGATATTTAGTATTCTTTTGTTAGATGTATATACTGTATTCTTTCTCATTTATTGCACGCGCACACAACATCGAAATATAAACAAAAATTATAATCTGTTCAAATAAAAAACAAAAAAAAACTGAAGAAAAGAAAACGAAACAACCATATATCACGCCATTCTCTTTGTTTGGATTTTTTTTAATGCACTTGTTAAAGCAGCTGGGTTTGTTCACGACTAGTTTTAATACTTGAGTGATACTCACAAATATATATATAACAGAACAAAACGAACAATAACAACAACAAAAAATGTTGAGCATTAAAAAGAAAAAAGAAAAAGAAAATTGCAAAATCACCAATTGGTTTGTTTTCCTAATATGACCTTGGCTAAATAAAAATACATTTTTTTTTGTTAAGTATTAGTATCAACAGAATTTGTCGATTCATTCGTTGTTTGATTTGATAGTATTGTGTCATTATAATTATCATCCTCAGTTATTAATTCATTATGTAGTTTTTTCGTAGTAATAATTTTTTGTGGAATAGATTTTCGTTTTTTACTCCTTGAACTAAATGTAGATATCGAAAGAGTAGGCTTTTGTTCGTCGATTAAAGAGATAATATTTGTTGATGATGTTGCTAAACTAATTGGACTAGTCGAACTATCTGAATCATTTGTCGTATTAAACCATGAATTATTTAAAGGTACAATTGTTGGTAAAGTATTATCTTCATCATCATCATCGTCCTCATCCTCATCATTATTATCAGTTAAAGGCGTCGAAGATATTTTATTTGTATCTTTCGTATACGTATTAGGTTTAGTTCTCATTCGGGCATTATGAAACCAATTCGATATTTTGTTCATTGGCAAGGATAATTCATCAACGAGTTGTTCTAATTTTGCTTGACTTGGATAAGGTTCACTTTCGAATATTTGTTTTAATCTACGACGTTGATCTTCTGTAAATATATATCGACGTTTTAAAGTAGGATTATTGTTACTTTCTGTATCATGATTCTGTGATTTTGTTGTAGGACGAATACTACGACGTAGAACTGTAAACAAAATCAAATGAATCGATAAAATATTGAAAAAATTTTATTTTTACTATCTCGTTCTTGTTTCCAAGCAAGTAGTTTTTGTACATTGTCGGTGTCACAAAACCAACTATACATACGTATATATGGTTCACGACCTTTGACACTTAATGCATGCCATGGTCGAGGTTTTTGATAGTATTTCACTAACTGTACCTTGAGAAAGATTAAGAACAGCTTCACCTAAATAACAAAACAATGCAATGGTTTTTATTTTATTTTATAGAGTTGATCTATACCAAACGCACGTTGACCAATACTGTATGAAGAAAGTAATTCACGTACTTGTGAACTTAAATGTTCAGTATCAATTGTAGCTAAATATATAATAATAAATAATAAAGAATTTCTTAAAATTATTATTAATTTACTTGGTAAAGATATTTTTGGTAAATCATAGAGTGGCATTTGTGATTTTGTAGTTAATTGTGGTCGTAATTGATCTTTATTAGTTTTTAAACGAGATTTTGATTTTTTATTATTATTAGTATTTATTTTTGTTGTTGATATTGTTGTTCCATTTAATGATGATGATGATAAACTTTCATTTGATACTATATGTAAACAATCATTTGATTGTGAATCAATAGAATTTTCATTCTCAATAATTTCAATAAGATTATTATATCTTTATTTCTATTAGAACTAAAATTATTTTAGTCTTAATAAAAGTAAAATATTTATTTTTATATTTTTCAAAATAATTCATAAAATTCTATAAATCTTGATCAAATTACATAATATTGTATTTTATTTATTTTTCACTCCTAACTTGAAAATTAACTAAAGAAAAAAAGATTTTTTTAATATAAATTCAGAGAACTATTTCCTAGTATTAACCTATTACATTTATAAATATTTTAGATTTTAGGTGGTTTATTGTTATTGATATTATAAATAATATTTACGCGTGAAAAGTCTAAATGTTAAACTAATTATTTTAAGAAAACCTATTAATTATAACATACTTTCACTCACCAAAGCTTTTTTTTGAAGATAAACCATATAGAAATAAATTTATAGGGCCCATTTCAATATTAAATAAATCATATTCTAATTTATTTGGATGAAATGTTTGACGATTATCCAACGATTCAATATATAGAACATATGAAAGATTTTTTTTCTATTAAAAAAATAAATAGAGACTATTGAGGAAAATAAAATTTGTTTTTAGTTTACCGGTTCTATTACTAGCAATTGGGGATGAAATATGAATAAGAATTTTTAAATATGAAACTTCACCACAATCAAAACAGCCATTACTAAAAATAAAGAAGATGAGAACATTCAAATATTTAATGTATTCATTTACTGATGGTTAGAGTCAGAGAGAAAAGATTTACCGTTTTTCAAATTCGTCTGATAAAGCTAAATGAGATTTAATTCCATTTTGCGAGTAAAATCGTTTATGAACATCAATGCCTTCTGAAATATAATACAATCGATCACTCTCAGGTATCGCAAGACGTGCAAGAGCATCTTCGACCTAATAGATAAAATACAACAATGTTTTTAATTAAATTTATTTTTATTTAAAACAAACTTCAATAGTTATATTCATTAGCGTAGCTTTTGGACAAAAATTCAAAAATGGTATTTGTAAGCGAACACATGTATTATTTGTTCGACACTCTTTCTTTTCTTCACATATGTTTGTCTATTTGGTATTTTCCCTTCTCTCTCACATATATGACCATATGGGATAAATCCCTCTCTCTTATATATGTTCATATAGTATTCTCCTTTCGTTATCTTAAGTCGTTCTTTTGTTCTTTTTATTTATATGAAAGTTCCAAGTGATGAATGAAAGGACATCACTTAAGTGTTTACCTAGATTCTATTGTATGACAAGAAATAGGAATAATCCAATATCATCATTTCTTGTCATATAAATAGTCGCGTTTTATTCTTAAATAAATGAAACTATTATTAAGCTTCCAAACTATTACCTTTTTTATAAGTTACACTGTAACAATTGGTGCACCGGCCAAGGTTATCAATTTACAATCTTTAACGAACTAACGGACCCGATAATAGTCTTATCATTAATCGAAATTTTTTTTTTTTTAACATTATGGCATCAACTGCTGACAATATTAGTACAGAACATCCAGGAACAACTGAAAATTCAATGACGACAACACATGGAGATACAGATGAATCTTCTTCACAAGAAATAATGGAAAGTGATAATAAACACACACTAAATAACAACTTACCACTTCAACATTTATGAGAAATATACGACATGGAAATAGCCTTAAAGGAAAGAATCATCGAGGATCAAGGAAAACTTCTACAGTTGTTAAATATTAAAATGCAACGATTATTAAATGATAAACAAACTCAACAAGAGCACGAACGAATGGAACAACAAAGTACTCACAACGAAGACAACAACAGTAATTCTGATACTCTGGTACAACGAACCACAAATGACAACATGATTCAACTTAATCCACGCAAATACGATAATTTCATTGAACAACAATTGATCAAGGATAAAATTACTAATATCCGAAAATTTTCTGGCAACAAATATGATGATGTGGATGAATGGCTTCAAAATATTGATCATGATTTTTCTTCAACACTTGTAAGTGAAGAAGTTAAATTAAAAATTATACTTAGGAGTTTAACTAACGATGCTAAAAATTGGTTTGAACAAAACAAGCATCGTCTTTCAACATGGGTCATTTTTAAGAAAGAAATCCAACATCGATTTCAATCATCATTACATAAAGATGAACGATTTATACGTCTTCGAGAACGAAAACAACAAACTAAAGAAACTGGACAACAATTTATTGATGCCATGGAGAAACTCTGCTTCCAAGTCAACTCTTCTATGAAGGAAGAGGAAAAAATGCTCCACATCAAAGCTGGTTTGAAACCATCCTTGAAAGAAAAAGTATTGGATAAACAACCACAATCTATGGATCAATTAAGAAACACGATAAAAATGGTCGAAGACATTGAGACAATGCTCAATAATGGAAATAATAACGAAGATCAACTCCAACAAACATTATTTGCATCAGATGTTGATCAACCAGTTTACGATGATGGTAACTCCTATGCATTACCATCACATTATAATAATAATTCATATCAATATCGTCGTCAAAACAACTATTATTATCGCCACCAACAACAACGACAAATGAATCAATCAACATATGCAACAAATAGAAATTATCAATCAAGAAATAGATATGAACAAAATTCGAATCAACAGCAATCAAACAATAAACCATTCACCAACTCATCCTCAACAACAACATCACAATATAACAATTCAAAAAAATACTAATGGGGACACAAGGTGATGGTTGTATCCCCACATCAAAAACATCACAATCATCATACATCAGAGTACCAGTTGAAGATCAGTTATCTACCATATTAATCGATACTGGTGCATCTCATTCATTTATTAGTAAATTTATCTTCGAAACAAATTTCCAAAAATATTCTCATTTATTTATTCCTGAACAAAAATCAATCACGGTGGCTAATAACGCTTCAATGGACTCGAATGGATATGTAAACATGAAAATCGTAATTGGTTCTATTACAACAACAGCGAAATTATAGATATTAGAACATCTTTGTACTGGAATTATACTTGGTTTGGATTGGCTTTCATCGGACACTTATAGAGCTAATATCAACTTCGAGAATAATTCTTTATCTATTTGCTTCAATAACAAAAGATCTTCTACATCTCTTTTAAAAATAAATGCCAATCAAAATTATCGTGTTCGTACATGTGATAAACTCATTTTGAACTCAATGGAAGAAAAAAATTATCGAAGTTAAAGTTATTGATTTACCTAATCATGATACAGTACAATTCACTCCAACACCTCGGTTCTTACATGAAGATTCAATTTTAGTGCCACATGCGTTAATCAAAGTGAAAAACTATAAAGCATTAATGACGATTGCAAATTTATCAAAGAAACCTAGAATAATTAATCAAAATACTCCAATTGGAACTATTGAAATTGAATCACCTAACTCAAGTTGCTTCTCAATTTCATCAATTTCACCTGAACCGCAACCACAACAACAATTAATTAGCACAGAAGGTAAGAAAATACCTATCCAGATTAAGAAAACAATTGACGAAATGACACAACATCTCAACAAAGAACAACAAAAATCATTACTATCAATTCTTTACCAGCACTACGAATTATTCGACACATCTGTACCAAAAATTGCAAACACTCATATACAACATACAATACCAACTGGAAACAATCACCCGGTGAACTCAAAACCATACCGATTGAATCCAGAAAAACAACAAATAATGGACAACGAAATACAATCAATGCATGCTGCCGGATTAATTCGACAATCCCAGTCGGAATGGTCTTCACCAGTCGTGCTGGTAAAGAAAAAAGACGGTCGGTACAGATTTTGTATTGATTACCGCCGTCTTAACTTAGTAACAGCAAAGGATTCCTACCCATTGCCCAATATGGAAGAAACAATTCAACAATTGGCCGGTTCATCTTGTTTTTCCAAGTTGGACTTAAAGTCGGGTTATTTCCAGCTGCCGATCGATGACCGGGACAAGCCTAAAACGGCTTTCGTGACGAGTAGAGGCCTGTGGGAGTTCAATGTACTCCCACAAGGCCTCAAGAATGCTCCTCCCTCTTTTCAGAGGGTACTTAATAATCTGTTAGCAACTGGAAGATATCAATATTGTCTCATCTATTTAGATGACATTATCATATTCTCTACATCATTTAAGGAACATTGTGAACATTTAAATAATGTTCTATCTGTGTTGAACAAAGCAAACTTCCAAGTAAACCTACCTAAATGTTCGTTTGTAAAATCAGAGATGGATTACTTGGGACATACAATCAATTGTCATGGATTTAAACCACTTCATACAAACGTTGATGCTATTATGAAAACACCAACTCCACGAACAGCAAAACAAGTACACTCGTTTCTTCAAATGGTTAATTTTTATCGTAAATTTATCCATAATTTTACAGAACTAACTCGTCCTCTTCGACCATTCCAACAGAAGAACATGAAATTTTACTGGGGCGATAGTGAACAATTAGCATGGAATGGATTAAAAACAGCATTGACTACACCACCAGTCTTCTTGAATTTTCCTCAATATGATATTAAAACAAAGAAAAAATTCCCATACATACTTTCGACGGATGCATCGAACTTTGGTATAGCTGGTGCTTTGAAACAACAAACACCAGATGGACTTAAACCGATTGTATATATTTCTCGAACATTAAATGCAGCAGAAAGAAATTACTCAACATTTGAAAGAGAATGTCTTGGGATTACTTGGTCAGTAACAAAATTGCGAGATTATTTAGCTGATGAACCCTTTGTGATCGAAACTGATCAACAACCAGCTCGAAATATTCATTTAAATCGTTCTTCAACAAATAGAAGAGTTAATAACTGGAAATTACACCTTCAAAATTATGATATAATCGAGATTAAACATAAACCTGGAACAAGAAATTGTGATGCTGATTATATGTCACGCCATCCATTAATTAATAAAGAAGAAATCAATGATGAACTGGATGGTATGTGTATGGTTATGACAAGATCAAAAACCAAACAACTAAATACAACAATCAATCAATCTTTGACGACTTCACCTTCATCTACAACATCTGGTGCTACACAACATTTATCACCTTTAGATCCCTATCGATTGAAACATGAACAGAATAATGATCAAGAAATACAACAATTAATTTTGGAATGTAAAAGTAAGCAAAAATCTACCTATTTAATAATCAAGGGAGTTCTTCATACACAATTAAACAATGGAAAATATGTACCAATTATCCCTGTCGCATTAAGAAAAGAAATTCTTCATTCATTTCATGATCATCCTACAGCTGGACACTTTGGACGTGATAAAACTTGGTATCGACTCAAAGATCGATGTTCTTGGCGAAACATTCGTCAAGATGTAATTCATTATATTCAATCATGTTCCGCATGTGCAAAACATAATGTTCGAAGACATAAACCATCAGGTCAAATGCAATTAATTGAACCTCCAGGTGAAGTATTTGATTTAGTACAAATGGATTTTACAGGACCACTCAAAGCGTCAACGAATGGAAATCGATATGTCATATCTATGACAGACTATCTTTCAAAATACGTCATTAGTAGAGCTGTTTCAGATGATTCAGCACAAACTGCTGCTGAATTCCTCGTTGATATATCACTGGAATTTGGTCCTCCACATCAACTACAAACTGATCGTGGTTCACATTTCACATCTATAGTCTTTGAACAGATTGCAAAAAAGATGGGATGTGTACATACAGTATCAACACCTTATCATCCTCAATCACAAGGTGTAATTGAGAGATTCAATGCAACTTTTAAACAACAACTGGCTAAATATACAAATGAACATTATGACGATTGGGATGATTATCTTCAAACAGTTGTTTCATCGTACAATAGTGCTGTTCATCAAGTAACACAATTTACTCCATCTCAAATATTTCATAAACGAAAATCAGTTTTAGTATTTGATCCTGCTAGAAAACATATTACTCTACCAAGAGTAAATGATTATTGGAACTATTTTCTTCAATTTGAAAAAATTTATATGGTTCAAGTGAGACGAAATATTCGACATCAACAACTACAAACAAAACGTCGATTTGATCGAAATAGACCAAATATACAATTTGTTAATTGACAACCAGTTTTTATTATCAAACCAGGAATACATCCTGCATTTGGAGAACTATATGATGGACCCTACACAATCATTAAACAATTAGGACCTGAAACATTTGATGTTGTTGATAATTATGATAAGGTGAAACGAGTTCATTCGTCACAACTGAAACCTTTCATCGAACGAGAATAGTTTCATTTGATGAACAATATCAACGTCAACAATATTTGTTTCTATCAAACTCCAAGTATTTTTTTAATTACAACAATTTTTTTCTGTAGTATATCGAGAAGGTGGCAACCCTCCAAGAGCATATACTGATACACAATATATATCATCAATACTAGCAAGGAAACATTCATACGATAACAATTAATATCTTTATTCTTCGCGTATTGTTAGTTAATAGTTAACATGTATATAAAAAAAATGTGTTTTTTTCTCTCTTATATATGGTTGTTCTCTCTTCTCTCTTCTCTCTTCTCTCTCTAGTCGATGTGGTATACCACATCTGATTGGGACGGGGAGGTGTAAGCGAACACATGTATTATTTGTTTGCTACTCTTTCTTTTCTTCACATGTGTCTGTCTGTTTGGTATTTTCCTTCTTTTATTCATATATGACCATATGGGATAAATCCTTCTCTCTCACATATATGACCATATGGGATAAATCCCTCTCTCTTATATATGTTCATATAGTATTCTCCTTTCGTTATCTTAATTCGCTCTTTTGTTCTTTTTATTTATATGGAAATTTCCAAGTGATGAATGAAAGGACATCACTTAAGTGTTTACCTAGATTCTATTGTATGACAAGAAATAGGAATAATCCAATATCACCATTTCTTGTCATATAAATAGTCGCGTTTTATTCTTAAATAAATCGAACTGTTATTAAACTTCCAAATTATCATCTTATATAAGTTACACTGTAACAGTATTGTATATGTTAATGAAAATGTTTTTGCACATACTGAAATATAATTTCTAAGAAAAAAAAGAAATTAAATTTCAATATAAAATAAAATACAGTAATATTCTTACTATTTTCTGGTGTTCCTAATAATTAGAAAATCTACAGAAAAATAATTTTTCATTTTACCCTGCAAAATAGTCATGTAGCTACAATTCACCATCGTCTCGACCTTTGGACCAATTTTAGTACTCATCAGTTAGAGTAAGTGCACCATCTCATATTCCAGATTGCAGAAATATATGTTTCTTCACTAGTAATAATAAAATAATTTATTTAATAAGAGAAAAATATAGATAACAAGAATATTTTATTTTACCCTGCAATTTATTGATCTCGATACAGTTCAGTGCAAGCACGACGTTTTAGACAAATTTCTATAATTATGAGCCACAATATGTTCACCATCCATAGCTGGATAATGAAGAATTGTTTGTTGTGGTACCTTGTAAGGATATAGATGCTTACGTGTATGCGCAGTGAAAAATATTTCTAATGAGTGAAAATTAGAAATTATTGTTATGACATATCAATGAGATAAATGCTCACCTATAAGGATAATAAAAATATTATGTATGACTGTAAAATATAAAGCTTGTGTTATGACATATATCAAAGAGATAAATGCTTACCAAAATCAACGTTAAAAGTAATTACCAATGACTCTAAAATATAAAATTTTGTTATGACAGATACTATGGAGATGAATGCTCGCCTTTACCACAACAAAAATATCTTGTATGACTGTAAAATGTAAACTTTGGTTATGACATATATCAATGAGATACATGCTTACGTGTATGCACGTTATAGGCACTTATTGATGACTCTAAATATAATACTTTGGTGTGACTGGTAAGAGAGAGAATAAAAAATCGTTTGATTGTTTTCACCTAGTGTGATATATTCAAAAAAATTTCACTGCAATGCACAAGATTAATATTTATATATACTTGTTATACACTGTCAATTTGAAAACAAGTTATAGAGAATAAAAAATGATATTCTAAGAGTATCCATATGTATTCATCCATGAATTTCTACTTTTTTGATAATACGACATTCAAAAAAAAAATAAAAGTAACAATATCAATTTTCATTTCATAACAACGTCTGTTTACTTATTTTATTTCACATTCAAGATATGTAATGCACAAAAAAAAGAATCCGACGAAAAAGAAACAGTTCGATAATTATAAACAACACAAAAAACTAAATAAGTTAGTATTCACGGGACTTAAACACAAAGATACACAAGAATAAATCAAATATAATATTTGTAATTGTTTGTATTTGTATCATTGGATGGGTATCAATTTCTTTCTAAAATAGATATAATAGAAATAAATGATGAGCATTGTATAATAATTTAAATGGTTAATTGAATTACTAATATAATTTAACAACAGTTTTCTAGAGTGTTCGTAACGTTTCATAATCAGCTGCTCCAATATAAAAAAACGGTTGATCTTCTAAAATAAAAATAAACAATATAAATACAAAGATTAATAAAAAGTATTACCTTCAGTAATATTCTCTTTTTATAAATATTTGTTTCTATTAAAAACTTAAATTAATATGCATCAATTTATTGTTCTGTAGATGACAAACAGATTATCAAACTACACGAATAAACGAGATCGTAGTTGTTTAGAGAAAGCAGCTTTACAAACTTTGAATTTTTTATTCAAGACATTCTTTTCTCTTTATAAGATTAGGATGGGAAAGCTAATTATTATTTGTATGCAAATCTGCTCTCTATAATACGTGATCCTGTAACTCGGTACAACTATCAACTTTCTATTCTCCAAATATATCGAAGAGAGATAAAAAAAAGACAAGTCAAGGAGAGGAAGAGACTAGAGAGAGCGAAGGAGAAAGACATCGATAAAAATGCACGCAGAGAGAAAATATATCGAAAGGAAAGAAAGAAGAAACAGATAGTAGGGGAGAAAAAGAGCACGTGTAAATGAAATAGACAAAAAGGGGTGTCATTCAAAAGGATGTCGATCACTTTTTTGGCATAATCATATATTTGACTATTCGTTTTAGTTTGTATTTTACAAAATATGCTTTTATTTTTATTATTTTATAATTAAACTTAAGCAATATTTTAATCAATTTTTGTTTGTCTTTTTTCGTATATTCTATTTGATTTAGTTTATTTTTCTTTAAATAAACTGTACCGTAATAACAAAGATTTTATGTAAACACACAAATTCTTTTATATAAAAGAAAGAAAATTAATCTATTATTAATTAATTATATCATAATGTTTGTGACATCACAAGCTCAAAGAAATAGAAGGATCTGGGTACAAAATTTGCAAATGTTGTACTGGTTGCTATGAAACAAAAAAGAAACAAGAATCAAGGGAAATGGGCTAGGTGGTGGCAAAGAAATTAAAAGCTTTCAAATCTGACTTTGATAAATCTTTTCGTCTTTAATATTTTAACAAGAAACATCATGTTATGGAATAGAATACTCAAAAATATCGAATACAGAGCAGATGACACATTATATGTAATCTGCTATCTTAGAAAAAAGTAAAAAAAAGTGTTTTTATATACAGTTCGAATTTGTTAGAAAATTTCTATTATGAAATCTTAGATAGTATAATATTTTGATTAAAATATGTTATAGACAATGAATTAATTCTCAATTCTAGTTAAAATAAAAGAGAAAATGGGTTAATACTAATCTAGTTAATATAAGAAAGTCTATTCATTTAGTTAAGTTTTTTCATGAATTTTCGAATTAAAAAAATCGAATATATTTGTGAAAATATTTTTAATGAAAATTTTTATATTGAAGAGAGAAACAGTTTATTAACAACTTGCATAAATTATCGCAGATATTTCTAATATATATTTTGTTCATTATTTGAAGAGTTGTCATAATCATAAAGAACATAATTAAATCATTTCAGTTTTTCCACGAAAATATAAAGAGAATATTGTTAAAAAGCTTTTTCTAAGACTTTCTCTTTCACGTTTAACATAACGTTGAATAAAATTTTCTACAATAAAATTCAATTGAGTTTTTTAAAGAAATAAAATATTATAGAAAAAAGTTAAATATTTTTTAAAACAAAATCACTCAACCGTTTCCATGTGTTCTATTGCGATGAAAAAGCGACGTTTGTTCACTATGAACATGTATACATGTTCGTGTTCAACAACGCAAATATTGAATAAGGATTATTACGATCGTACTCTCATACACACGTAATTACAATGAAAATATCATAGTTGAATGTGGGTAGAATGAAAAAAATTATAGTTGTGATAAGTAAATTACATTTCGTCAAAATTCTGTCATATATTCACATGACAATCCACTGTCAATTGATCTTGATATTGTGAGAGAAACAATGTCAGACTGACATCATTCATTTCTCTCTTTATTTCAAAAATATTATTATTGAGGAAATAAAGTTATTTAAATGATTACTCGAACAAGTTTCCATCAAAATAATCTGATATAACTTTGGATTATTTCAAGAAAAATAATATCATTGCAGTTGTTTCGTTACATTTTCACAAATTAATGAAAAAAAATTGTTAACGATATGAAACTGATTAGTTGAAGCTATTTATAAGAGAAAACATGTTTTTAGGATTGATTAAAAATAATTCTGCGAACGTCATTGTTGTTTAGAAAAAATCGTTTGCATAAGACAATGAGTTTATTTTTATTAATAAGTTTTTTTCAATATCTTTATATTACTAAAATATTTTAACATAGGACATTATGTAATTAAAGACTTTTGAACCTTAATGGTTATCGTATGAAATTGTCTAATCGATTTTATTTGCCATTCTTTCTTTCTCTATCACTAAACTTTTATTATTGTAAAGATAATCATAGTTGAAAACAATCAAGTATGTTTTTCAATTGATAAAACTCTATCTGAGATATTTTTTTTCACTGTAATTTACATTGAGAAAATGTAAGAATATATGTCTGATATAGAATCGGTAATTTCCATTTTTCGAATTTATTTTCAAATCTTTTAACATTAAACAATTGAAAATCTTAACAAATTATATTGTTTTCAATTTAATAATCATGATGATGATGAAAAAAGAAAAAGAATTATTTGAAATTTAATTGATTCAAACTATTTATCTCTTGATATACATATACACAATGAAAAAAATGTCTATATTCTAACTATTGGCTTAGTACAATACAATCAAATCAAGATTAAAAATGATATAAAACTAATGAATATGTATTTATGAAATATATTCTCATAATTTATATTAGAAATGTTTTTCATATGTTTGATTTTGCTGTATAAAATCAGATGAAATACATACTTTCTATTTTCATTTCATTGTCGTATCAGACATTTTTTTTCTACTAATAAGATCAGCAATTAATGATCATACTGATATTAATCTTACAATAAACATAACAGTCTTTAGCATTCAACTACTATTATATTAGTTTACTCCGTCGATAATAATTCTATAAACATTTATGCATATATCTAATAGAAAAGAATCTATGTCAATTGATAAAAGTAAAAAACTCATTCATTTAAATAAACAAAGATTAATAGAAATAAACATTTCTTGTTCTACTTTTATAAATGCTTCACACTACGGAAACGAAATCCTAATATTCACTATCATAAAAAACATAATTACTCAACCTGACTTTTCCCTTTAACATTCGGATTGCTGATATTATCGATTCGATTTTAACTTATATATACACTATGATTTCCAAAATCCTTATGTCAATTTTGTCCCAATAAATGATTCACTCATGCCATTGAATCTAGTAACACATGGACGACGAAATTCTTCACCACGTTCATCAACCCATTTAATTAAACTAAAAAAATATCTACATGACGAGTATTGTAATCTTCTGAAAAGATAGAAATAATTTATTATATATACTAGAAAAAATAAAATGAAGTGTTTATCTAGCTTTCATTCGATGCATAAACATTATACCAAAATGCAGCACTTCCTTTTTTGATTTCAAATGATCGCTAACTACAGGAAAAACTGTTGCACCACCTTGTTCGACATCACTCAACTAGAAATATTTATAATTATTATTATAACAAATTTCTAATAACATCCAATTAACTTACATAAATTAACCATGCATCAATACGATTTCCTAGAAAATAAAAATAATGATATTATTTCTCATACAAAATTTGAACTCACCAACACCAAGACACGAAAAAGCATCTATCTCTGATTTCTAAATTTAACTCATATTTTTACTAAACTAAATAAATAAATATTCATAACTTACTCGTGCAAAATCAAAATGTGCTTTATAATGACTATCAACACCATAATTTTCAATCTAATTATTTTATTATTAATTTTATTTTGTTATTCTTTAACCCTTGGAGTACCAAAACCTTTTTTTGAGTTTTAAGGGCATCTAACACTTTCTGCGTACTCATCCCATATGGTGTTTTAAAATATTCGAGAGAATAAAATATGCTGATTGTATGAAAATTTGACGGTGTGGGGTCAAAAATGACCCCTCTTGGTACTCCAAGGGTTAATTATTCACATATTCGAAGATCTTCATTTGTTATCATACTTAAATTTGTTATACCTTCAAGTAATCGAGATAAACGAGAAACAACTGATGAATCTTCATTTCTCAATCGATCACTAAAAATAAAATAAAAATCAAACTTCAAACTAGGTCTATATTTCAAGGTAAATACACAATATACAAAACAATAAATATAACTATGATCCGTTAATAACGATGAAAAGCTTTGGAATTTGAGGAGTAAAAACAATATTTGGTTGACATTCATTGAAATTAAATATGTAAATTATATATTTGTTTTTTCTTAGTTCGTACATTTTACTCACTCTATAACTGGTATGTTCATGTTTTTATGTTTTAAGATTTTGTATAATCGCTCTACTTGGCTACAACCATAATTAAAAATAATTATCTTAAATTAAATATTCATAAAATACTACTGAAAATAAAAAAAAATTATTTTTAACATCATGCGAAATATACATATCTTACGAGGGAGCATATTTGAGTGTACCCACGCAAAACGAGATTTGAACTACTGTATCTTGTAGGGCTGCCCTTGG